TCTTCTTCATCTACATCCTAAGAATTTTATATTTTATATGAAACTATTCATATATATTTATATCTATATATTTAAATACTAATTAAATCTTATCTTCTTCTTTCCTATCTTACAGATCTCACTGCTAGGCCAACATCAATCAATTCACAATAATTCTCAGCAAAATGACGCACAGTTTAGCCGCACAGAGTATAAATAATTCTAGCGACAAAATGTTCTCCCGCCAGTGCCTTTCCAGCTCCTCCCCGCGCTCCACCTATCCCCGCTCAATATTAACGACAACCCCATCATCATTAGCATCGATATCAGAGTCGCGTCGAATTCGGCCGACACGAAACTGGATTGGGAATGGGAATGGGATTGGCAATTGGAACCTTAGCCTCTTGGCATTGATCATTGCCAGCGGCTGTTTAATGCTCAATGCGCCAGCAATTGCAGCTTTCGATATTGGTGAGTAGACGACGAATCGTTTTATCTGACAAATCAAACTAAGTGAACTCTGGGGCCATGGGCAAGTCAAAAGGTGCACACATTTATCAGTTTGCCGCTGCTGGCATCATTAAAGACGAAAATGGCTTTATTTTGATTTGATTCAGATGGCACTTGGCTGGGCTTGGACCAGACTTGGATTGGGTTGGGTTTGGGTTTGGGGAGCTGCTGCAATTCAAGCAAAATGTATTTTAATTGACATTGAAAGCACATTTTTATGTGGCTCATCATTCTTTGGGCCAGGCGACAGGCGGCACAGTTGGTGGCCTCTGGCCAGTGCGCCATGGGGCGTCCCATTTGACAAGGCACAGCCTCAGATGTGGTTGCAGTTGCAGATGCAGCTTCAGCTTCAGCTCTTTCTCCTGCACATTAATTGGCATATGGACATTTTTATGCAGCCTCTAAACATTTGTGCTGAAATTTTCAATACACACACACACAGACACATACACACAGTAGTTGCTGCTGGCTTTAATGAAGCCATACTGCGGTAGTCGCAATGCTAGCTGGTAGTTTGGGGTCGCTGCTAAGTTAGGATTATGGCCACTTTGAATGGCCCTGGCATGTCAGCGGCTCATAAATTTCTATGCTGATATGAGGACAGGCCGTTGGGGACATGGCGAAGGCTGCCTGATGGACTGAACAAAAGCTAAGCGGCATGGGAAGACTTTCAAAGCAAATGTCTAAGACGCAAATGCGCTAGCATTACAATGCCATAAATACAAATACAAGCTGGCTTAAATACATATAAAAATATACATACATATTTGATATGTAATTGGCATAGTGACGAAAATATAATACCTTTTGTGAATCAGTTTGCTAATGAACCTATAGATTATGAGTAAAGAGCCGCTACAGACGCTAATTGAATGAAATAATATTTTGATAGTATTGTAGAAAAATCACAATAGATATGAAAAGAAAGCTTAGTGAATGACGACCAATTTTATAAAATTTAATATTAATGATTAATGTTTTAAATTAATTTTATTGCCATTAAATTTGGCTTTAACTCATTCAGATTGTTAAACTAATGTAAAATAGGTTATTTATTAGGCTGACCCTGAATTTACAACAACAAAAAAATTATATCTAAATATAAACATAAAATACTTTTATGTTTATAATAATAA